AATATTTTATGAGAAATAGTCTGTATTTCTCATTTTTTTTATTCTTTTGCGTAAAAATAAAATTCATGCCAATATTTTTCCATGATTTATAATAATTGGAGTAATGCAAATGCATATTTTCTAAAAAAGTCAATTTTTAGTGAAATTTTGCCGGGAATGGGGCATTAAACAAAAATTAAAGTTGATTGGATGTCCACAATGGTAGTGGCTATCGGCACTGCCGCAGTGCCAAAAAAAGCTGCCGTTTTCTATCGGCACTGCCGCAGTGCCAAAAAAGTTGCTGTTTTCTATCGGCACTGCCACAGTGCGAAAAGATGCTGTCAATTAATCGAATCGATGTTTTTATCGATAGATGACATTGGTATAATTCATAATTCATAATTTTATTTCACTCAAAACGTAATGAGACTGGTTAGGCAAAAACATGTCCCTGTGCAAGATGCCTTTCAGAGAAACAATGATAATGTTAATGGCAAAGACATAATAATAATAATAATAATAATAATAATAATAATAATAATAATAATAATACAGATGATAATAATAATAATAATAATAATAATAATAATAAAAAGTAAATGATAATAATAATAATCATGAATGAAGATCAAAATATATCATTGAAGTGAATTCAGTTATTTATTAAAACAAGATTTGGAGGGCTGGACTGTCATGAAGGTGTTGTATTAAATGATGTTCTAAATATTTGCCTTTATTATATCAATAATTGATTAGGACTAGCTTAGCCTATATAATTGTTAACATTATATTATATTTGTTTTACAATTAGTTTAAATAATTATTTCTAATTAAATTATTAAATGTATACAAGGCCTAAGCATATACATAAAACAAAAAAATAAACAAACAACAACAACAATAATAATAATAATAATAATAATAATAATAATTTTACGATAGTTTGATTAATGAAATAGTAATAATCAGCATATTAAATAAAATTCCGTCCATGCAAAACCTGCTTTTAAATAAAAACGTTATCTATTTGATTCTGTTTTAAAAAATATTCTTATAAATTATAAGTTTATTTTCTGCGATAATTTTATGCACATATGAATATTCATGTTTTCAATGTTAATCTGGTTGATAAATAATATATATAAAAAAATAAATAATAATAATAATAAAGGTGCTCGAATAATGCTTTAGTGAATAATTAATAATACTTCAAAAATGCTTCAATAGGCCAATTTACGATAGTGTGATTAATGAGATAATTGTTGATTAATTTATATAATACGTAGGCCTATATTCCATTAATAATGATTCAGCATATTAAATCAACAATACGTCGTAAATGTAAAATTTGTTTGG